CACACACAGCTGTAACAGTAACTATTCTTTCTCTAACTGATTAAACTGTCTTAATCAAAATCTTGAAGGAACCTGGCCTTTTGGAACAGTCTGTGGCACCCCTTGTGAAGATTGACGTTACGCAAGGATATCCGTCATCGGATAAAAGTTCAGTATCTGAGTACGAAATTCCTCCAGACCCACTTTGGGAGTTTCCTCGAGAAAGGTGATACCAGTATTTGTTTCCTCATAATAGTTCAGGCAGATTTAGAAAAGTTTTCACATAAACTGTTTATGGTATTCACATGCAAATCTCACACCTTTTAAAGTCTCTAAAACAAAATAATAATTTTATTGCCCATAATTATCACATTTTGTCATTGTGTTTCTAATGTAAACAAAGAAATGTCCAGAACATCAATGTTATTGTATCCAAGTAGCTACTGATTTAGCTCTACATGACCAGCTGTGGCAGTGGATTGAGAAATAGAGTACGATCCTTCAGCTGTCCGCGAAACATAATAGTTGCCGTCAGGTTGTAACTTTAGTTACTAGATTTTGGATTTTCCAGTAAAGGTAGATTTTTTATCTAATTTTTCGATTTTGTATTTCACAAGTAACATAACTTTCATCCTGTGGAAACTGGGCACTTTGATATATCAATCAGTATAAATACAACATTTAGAGAAAGGTTTGGGGTTAGTTGGTCTTACTGTACGATAAACAGGAATTCTTTTCTTTAAAATGAATGTAACTTTAATGTGTTTATTTAGTTTTATCTCTGCTTTCAACAGTAATTTTTTTTTACATCAATAAAAAAATACCTTAATTTATCTAATGTGTTTGTCTAAGAACAGTATTTTTTTTCAAGATTTGAAAAGCTTAATTATAGATAATATCTTGTATATGTTTTACACATCTAGCACTGTCTGTGTATAACAGTTGAAATATGCCACATGTAACACTTTCTATGTATAACATTTGAAATGTGCCACATGTAACACTTTCTATCTATAACATTTGAAATATGCCACATGTAACACTTTCTATCTATAACGTTTGGAAATGTGCCACATGTAACACTTTCTATCTATAACATTTGAAATGTGCCACATGTAACACTTTCTATCTATAACGTTTGAAATGTGTCACACGTAACACTTTCTATCTATAACGTTTGAAATGTGTCACACGTAACACTTTCTATCTATAACGTTTGGAATGTGTCACACGTAACACTTTCTATCTATAACGTTTGGAATGTGTCACACGTAACACTTTCTATCTATAACATTTGAAATGTGCCACATGTAACACTTTCTATCTATAACATTTGAAATGTGCCACATGTAACACTTTCTATCTATAACATTTGAAATGTGTCACATGTAACACGCATATTTGTGTCACATATAACATTTGAAATATGCCAAATATGTGTAACCCTTTCACATAAAAGTAACAAAAGTTATGAAGTTTGTAAAATCATAAATGTGTCTGAGATTAGATACAAGTAAGAAACCATGAATCCATTTTAAATATGTGTGTTTTGTTTATTCAGTTAGTAGATGGTCGTCACAGGTTATATTTCTTATAATTTCAGAGTGGTCTTAGGAAAGACTCTAGGTGAAGGAGCTTTTGGGCAAGTGAGAAAAGGGGAAGCGTATGGTTTGACGGACAAAGAAGGTCCAACCGTTGTGGCCGTGAAAATGTTAAAAGGTACTTGATTGGCTGGCTTTGTCGTTATAGAACACGTATGAAAAGAAGCTGGCTCTGATTGGAACATTTTAAAAATACAGTATGTTTATTGGTTATCATCCAAGCAGGATGTGTGTGTGTGCACAATCACTAAATAATATATTGACTTGAATGTATCATTGTACATTCTTTGGTCAAATTGTGTGTGAATGTAATGTGGTAAATAATAATGAGTCATTGTGAGACTGTGTTAATGGGGACAGAGAAAATAATGAATTATTGAGTAGTTAATTGTGAATTGTTAAGTTTACACCATGAGGTGTGCCATAAGAGTGACAGTCAAGTCCCACTATTCAGTTGAACGTGGAGTTACCATAAGAGTGACAGTCAAGTCCCACTATTCAGTTGAACGTGGAGTTACCATAAGAGTGACAGTCAAGTCCCACTGTTCAGTTGAATGCGGGGTTACCATAAGAGTGACAGTCAAGTCCCACTGTTCAGTTGAACGTGGGGTTACCATAAGAGTGACAGTCAAGTCCCACTGTTCAGTTGAACGTGGGGTTACCATAAGAGTGACAATCAAGTCCCACTATTCAGTTAACCATGGGGTATACCATAAGAATGACAGTCAAAGTCCCACTATTCAGTCAACCATGGAGGAGTGCTATAAGAGTGACAATCAAGTCCCAGTATTCAGTTAGACCAGAGCAGTCCAAGTGGTGGTAGTGGCTACTTCTGACTAGCTACCTTCTTTCTAATGTATGTGATAAAAATTAGCATTATTTTGATTGTATATTTATGAACAATAAATGCTAATGTGATTTTTTTTTTCTTTCGAACTCCAAGATGCACACATTGACCAGGAGCTGGCCGACTTAGTGTCAGAGATGGAAGTCATGAAGATGATCGGAAAACACGTGAACATCATCAACCTTTTAGGCTGCTGTACCCAGGATGGTAGGTGGCTTTGTATTTAATATCAACTACTCTACACCAACACTCCTGGTGAGCACTTAAAAAGATCTTATTATGATCACTTTTCTCAGATCAGCATTGCTGTGAAGTATAAGTATTGAAGCAAGAAAAAAAAGAGCTGTAAAACCTTGTGAATTTTACAATTTGTCTGTATATATATTTTTAAAGCACTCATGTTTATTGTATTAATAACATTTTTAAATATGTACGCAATGGAGGTAAAAATTTTAAGATACTCAAATGACCTTCTGGTGGTTTTATTGTCCATTTCAAGCAGCCGAATTCCGAGTTTTATTAATTTTTGTTATTGTAGTCTTATTTTCATGGTGTATTCTTATGATAAAATACTGCTATTTTAACTTGTTTGTATTAATTGCAAGTTTTAAATCTATCTAGGACCACTTTACGTTATTGTGGAATATGCCCCTAACGGTAACTTACGAGACTTTTTACGAGCTCATAGGCCTAGCTCAGGATATGAACAAGCCATTGGTAGTGACTTGAAGCCAAAGACTTTAACTCAGAAAGATTTAATCTCATTCGCTTACCAGGTGGCTCGTGGAATGGAATATTTAGTTTCAAGAAAGGTACGTAAAGTGTTGGATAAGAATTTGTTTTTGTCCTGTATATGTAACAACAGATTCTGTCACAAATGGTTCGCATGGCCAGACTTTGAATCTCAGTGTTCATGGTTTATGTCCCATTGCCACATAAATGCACTTCAAGACCATGGGGTTTGCTATAAGAGTGACAGTCAAGTCCCACTATTCAGTTAGACAAAGAATAGTCCAATCATTAGTGGTGTCTTCCTTGCAGTGTAGAGTTCCAAATTAGGGACAGCTGTGTACAGATAGCCCTTGTGTAGCTTCGTATGTAAAATCGCAGTACAAACATTGTTATAACAATAGTATAAAATTCCATAATTGTGTTATGCAATACAGCTTCATAAAGCAGAACTGACTGCTACTTTTGTTGAATAGCATTAAACATAACCTCTTATTTTAAGGTTTATTTCTCTTTTTGCCTTTTTTTAAACTACTACTGCTAAACGAGTCACTTACGTTAAATAGACCCCATGGTCATTCGTAGATTTAGGGAGAGAGGGCATTAGTTTTATGGGTTAGGTTATCGATATGGTCGTTAGGTATTTAGAATTACTTAAAATTAAAAGTGAATTAATTAATAAAGGATAACTTTCATACACTTTATTACGACATGAAATTGTTTTAACCAGAAATCCAGAGAAACTACGTTGTTGTTGTGATAAGTAAACTTCAGTTTTTCAGGATACCTTGATTATTAAAACTGAAAGCTAAAATGTTTCAAATGTCATTTATTTAAAGAGTTTTTTCAGTCTTAATAATTCTCAGTATTAAGAATATGTCTGTATTTCAGTGTATCCATCGTGACTTGGCAGCACGTAACGTTCTCGTCACAGAAGACAAGGTGATGAAAATAGCCGATTTTGGATTGGCTCGAGACATACATAACATTGACTACTACAAGAAGACCACTGATGTAAGTTTTGTTTCAATCTCAAATTAATTGAAACCGTCAATATTCAAATACATTATTTTGTTATATTTTTTGTATCATATACTCTTTTTGTAAACATAAACTCGTTAATTTTGAATTGCTTGAAAAAAAAAAGCAAGATTTTAAAATGTTAAGCTGTCATTATTTAAATGTGATTGGAAATTTAATGATAAAGCACAGTAATTCTATTACACAGTTTTTGAATAATTCCACCTCTGTATTTTCAGGGCCGGCTCCCAATAAAATGGATGGCACCAGAAGCTTTATTTGACAGAGTGTACACAAGCCAAAGTGATGTGTAGGTTTTCCATTTGTATTACTTGAAATCCTTTCAAGATGTTTGTTTATCAAATTCATGTTAAATAATACAACACTTAATCACAACCCAAATTAAAAATTTTATAATATCGAGTTTCTGCTGTCTCCATCTTGACAGCTTTTATTTTTGGCTAAGAGTGCTTATATTTTACAGTTGATATGGGTGTGGTTAGTATGCTGGACTGTAAGTCTGAGGTTTCAGAGTTGGAGTCTCTTTGCCACATAAGCATGCCCTGTATTTCGGGTCACGAGTGTAAGAGTCAAATACAACTGTCTGTTTAAATAAGAGTGGTGCACGAGTTGGTGGATGCTGTTGAGTAGCTAACTTCTGTCTAGTTCATCAGTTAAAGATTAGCATATACCCAGAATACAGATTTCAACTCTGTTGTATTGCAAGGCTAGATAGAAGAGATCTTATCTCTGTTAGACACTTTTTGGCAGGAGTGGTACCAGCCTCTTTCTTCCCCGTGAGGTGGCTGGACATAAAATCGATGATGGTGCACTCTACACCTTGTGATTATTTTAATCATGCCCGGTATTTAGTTTAGAGGAGAGTTTCGCTGAAGGTGAAACTTCACAACTGGCGGGTTTTGAAAATATACTTATTCGCCTTTGCTCCACTTGCAAAAAAATTGTTGAGAAACTGAGAAAATATTTAGTTTTCTGGCTTAAAAATAAAGGTGAAATTTGGAATGCATTCATTACTGATACAGTTGTAGAAACTGTAAAGTCGAGGCAAGGATCGTGAAGTGAAGGCCGCCCTTACCTGAGAGGTCATAGTACAAAACATTCAGGCTTAGCAGATGAGAAGTGAAAACAAATAGCCCTTATTTAGGTATGTGTAAATCCTATGCCAAGAAGTTTCCTCTAAGAAAACACTTGCACTAGTTGACCACATATAATAGAGTATTTAGGAATGAATTGGCTTTACCAGTAAGTATTGTTTATTGTGAGGCTACAGGATAGGCTAAGGAAAATTTTGGGGTAGCTTCAGCAAGCCTACCCTGATTCTTGGGGAAAATATTTCCCACATCCTGATATACAATAAAATTTTGTTGTCATAGAGGAAGGATTATCTGTATTTAAATAATGGAAATCCAGAATATTTCTGAATGAAATTACCAATTTTCTGCAGCTGGTCTTTTGGTGTATTGGTGTGGGAGATCACGACTCTTGGAGGAACACCGTATCCATCAGTTCCAATCGGGAAACTATTCCACCTTCTACGAGAGGGACACAGGATGGAGAAGCCTCAGTACTGTTCTCTTGAAGTGTAAGTTTTGAAAACTTTACTGTTTTAAAATAGCGGTTACAGATATTTGTAAGAATTGTGAATTTCAAGATTAGAAACAGAAGCACATTTGTTCACCAAGTTTGATTTAGGACTGTAACACGATGAGTTTTAATTGTACAAAGTCTTCACTTACTACCTATTCAAGTACCTTTTTTTTATAGAACATAAATCTCTATGTCTATTAATATAGGAATGTTTTCCTTTTAGTTATATGATTATGCGTGAATGCTGGCAGAACTATCCTCATCAACGTCCAAGTTTCTCGGAGTTAGTAGAAGATCTGGACCGCATCTTGACCATTTCATCTGAACAGGTGTGGTTTATTTGAATTCTCTTTTAGGAACAAATAGTAAATTTAAAATAACTACATTTTTGTACATCATAATTTATCTGTTGTCGTTAGTAATAGTATTAGCAATATAGAAGACCAGCAGTGGAATGTTAAAACTATTGTTTTAGTAATTTCAAAGTCTGTAAGGAAACCCACTTGTGTGATTTAAAAGTGTACAACCTCCAATTTACTACTATGTTCTTTTTTTTTCATATCTAAAGAAAAAAATCCTAGCACCTTCCAATATATTACAATCTTTGTGAGCATTAATTGTACAGGAATAACACATTCAACAGCCTTGATTTTTATTAAATTACCAACTTTCACTTCCGATAGATGGCTGGGAACCACTGTTCTAGCAGGTATTCTGTTTGTAACTTTTTTTTTTTTTTATCTTTTCCTACAGGAGTATCTTGACTTGAATATGACCTTTCCTGCACTGAAAACCCCACCATCCAGCTGTTCATCGTCCGACGTTGACCTGGATTCCGAGGAAGATACAAGTGATGATTTCTCAAGTTCTCCATGCTAGTAAACATACAAGCACATATTAATTGCTGCGTGGATGGTTGACCTATGGAAAAGTTGTGTTAATTCTAACAAAACATAGAGGCCCAGGTCTCCTGCCAGTTATTTTTCCCCCTTGTCTTGTGTGTAGAAGTTAACTTATTGGCCAAAGACTGCCTTGTATATAAACATTACTATCAAAATAGTTCTTTTCTTGACCAGTCTCCACTTCCAAAGTAGTGCGACAGCAACAGGCATGTGTCAGTACAGTGGGTGTACATTTTATTCTGTTTTTACAGAAATATTTAATTAAAAAGAACCAACACTGGAATATGAATACTCCCGAAAGAAACTAAACGTGTCATGTTAAATGCCCAGAAATTTTCCCAGTTATTTGGAAAAGTAATGAAGACAATGGGTTTGTGTAATAAAATGTTTGGTACATCTGCTTGTTTTACAAGAAGGAAATTTCTATGAATCCTCTCACCAACTATTATTGATGTAAATAGGGAAAGTTGTGCAAGATTTCACTCGTTTAGCACGAGTTATTTAAGATGTGCATGTGTTAATAAACGTTTATTTGTATTATATTACATACGAGTAGCTCCACTACGAAAAACAAACCCTTTGGGCTCGTCCATCAACTACAGTTCTTGTCTGTTCGAGTGTTATGGTTTTCTTAAGTTTCAACCAGTGAACTTTTAATTTCGGTTTTCACAGTTGTATAAAGATTTCAAAAACCAATACAAATATTATAACCAGATTTGTATCTTGATTATCACAAATTGTAGCTCTTTGATGCTGGACTTTTAATGTAAGAATCAAGAATCGCAAACAGAAGCTGATAAAAAATAAAGGTTTAAGTGTATAATTTTGACTATTACAGATAATATCATTAAAAATAAGCTCCAACCCCCTACACATGAAAGTTATTGCTGTATGCACAACCAAATTTATTCTGTTATTAATTAAAGTGTTTATTTCCATGAAAAGTAGGTTAGCACCAGTTTTACAAATCCTGCTGGAAAGGGGGTTTGTTTGAATATTAACTTTCCTTGTATTTTAAAAACCAGGTATTAAAATTAGTTAACACTGAACCATTGTATAACAGAGGTACATTTTACAACTGTTAATAAAAACTAAAGAATTGACGAGACCATAACAAGTTCTTCTCTGTAGAACATATTTTGTTTCCCTCACTTCTTAACGATTCACTTGTCACTCTTTTACAGAGTTTGTTATTGTCTTAACTTATTAAATCTGAAACTAAAAACTTTACTTCAGTTCCTAAAGAACTAGTGCCCCCCCCATGCCTACAGATTTATATAATATTAATTACACACGGAAAGTAATTCAATTTGTTTCTGTCCGTCAGAAAAGGCAAGTCTTCCCCACATTAATTAATAATGGAGCTTTTGTTGTTTTTTGTTAAGTTACTCAAGTTTTTGGCTGTTGTTTAATTTTTGTTCTCAAAATTCAGACGTACAACTTGTATCATTACCAAACTTCTCTCTTTATTAAAGGTCAACAGTGATGACCGCCACCAAATTAAAATGAACAAAATATAGGCTCAGATAAACAGTAAGATATTAAATGAAAATTTTATACTGTTGGTAAGATGACAGAAACCTAAGACTGGACTCAAAGGTTCAAGTTAAAAATTAGCAGTTTTTGTTTCGAACTAATTATTCTGCTGTTGGACTGAAGGTAAACTGTAAAGTTCCTTTACCATAATCAATTAAAGCCAAATAATGCCTCTTCATGACTAGAAAAGAACACCCTTCATCAACTGTCGCCCACTGGCTTTGGTTTAAGAGAGAACTTAGGGGATCATGTTTTTTTGTTCAACCAGCTCAGCTGAAGCAACACTACAGTTAAACCAAATCGCTCAACTGTCGAGTTGATAAATATATTGAGCTTATTAGAATTTTTTTTTCAAAGGCAACTGAAACACGATCCCTCAGAAAAATTACCTTTGACAAAGACCAGCTGAAGAATTGGTGCTAAATATAGTGGTTCATATTAAACTATGCTTAATCATTTCCACTCGAAACCAACTATTGCAGGTTGTTGGTTTCATTTAACAAAACACTAGGAGATATTTGTAGTATTATTCTAAATTAAACTTATAATGTACTTCTTTCAAAGTATAACTTAACCCTTTCACTACCAGTTATTGTATACAACACAAAGCTAGAAAAAAACTTTAGTAACCTGAAATCTTGGGCTAGCAGGCTTAACTGGTGGGGAAAGGGTTGACAAGGGCTAACATACTACAAATACGTCCTGGATATCACATCGCAACATACATTACAAGGATGTGTAGATAACAGACATGCTCGTACGGTTAAAAACAAGAATTTGGGCCAAAAACATTCTACTAATGTAACACTTAAAAAGTAACCATCTCATACACATAAAAGTTTCCTAGTTTTGAGCTAAAAGGATAAATTAATGTACTAATCTATCTTTTTCCTAACAACAAAAAAGGGATCCGGTGCCTAACGACACTAGACAAGACATCTTGGCAACTTTAGTCTTCTACAGGATACTTCTGTTCCTGCTTTCCACGCTTTCTTCCCATACGTAAACTCTTGTTCCCTTCCAAAATCTTAAGATGATTTTCCTGCTGAAACACACAACACAAACTGAAATCAAACAGCTAAAATATATTTAACAAGTTCCTCATTAGATGCGTGAAATTATAGTTTAAAGCTGACAATACTTTGTATGAAATATGCAGGAAGCTTGTAAACCAATATTATCTAAACATTTAAAAATCACTACACAATACTCGAACTACTTGGATTCCTTATGGAGTAATGTTATACATTTTTACTTCTTATAATACACTATATTACCAACATTATAATTAGAAATTTGTTTGGAGAATAAACACTCGAGACAAATAATAGAACATGTACAAGTATTAGAATATTACAGCCATTTGTGTATGTATAAACACAAATCAACAATGTATTTAAAGATAACTCACCACAGACTTGGACAATGAAGGAAAATCATTTTCAGATTCCAGCAAGAAGCTTCGCTTTGTTGAATTCTCTCTTTCAAAATTATGTTCTGCTGGACTTGAATCAGAAAAGTAATAAAATACAAGTTAGTCCTTGACATTGTCTAAATTGTAAATGAATAAGACCATTTAGCCAGCTTCTAGATTAAAACCTGTACAATATAAAGTAACTACCAGAATTGTGGAAAACACCCAATATCTAATCACCAAAACACTAATGACGATTATCAAAGAAATCTTATCTTAAAAAATTAACAGATTTTTATCTTTTAAACAGTAATTTATCTTCCCGATCTTTTTACAAGCTCTAAGCAGCAACTAAACATTGTAATTTCAGTAAGGTTGTTGAATTTTGAACAAAGCTACTCAAGAAATATGTGCACCAGCTGTCCCTAATTTTAAAGACAGTCAAGACCATCTGCTATAACGAGATCTATTTTTTCTTGTTTAGTATGAAACAAATGAAATGGCTATACACTGACATTTATCTCCTTCCTCTCCTAATTGTTTTGATAAAAGACTAGATTACTAAAGTTACGTAGATGATACTTGTGAAAACTTCAGGGAACACGTTTCTCAGTACTGTACCTTAGCCCTAGAATTGTCCTTTTATGTACCCAAATGCTTGAGGGTTCAAGACCTTCTTAGTTCCAGGGTCTCCAATAATCGTACAAGATTGCTTCTGGTGTTCCTTGTGTATTTTATGAAAAAAATGAACAATTTCACATCATGTTTTCAATTAGTTCTTTAAAATAAGATGTAACAGGCAGAAACAAATTGCTCAATAAGTGGACCCTACTGGTACTTGTGGTAGCTGTCCATAATTAGATGGAAGGCAGCGACACCTACAGCCAACTCTTTGGCTATTCTAATTAAATAGTGTCACCTTTTATAATATACCATGGCCCTAAAAGGCAGAGCACTTTTTTGGAAGAGGGTTGGGGTCGTAACAGGATGTAAACCACGGATTCACAGGCCAACATGCTAACCACTGGCCTGACGTTCACTAATGCTATAAAACGAGTCGGTAACTTAAGAATGTTAACAGTAAACACGAAGATCTTTTTTTCACAATAAGACGTTGTCAAGATCACCAACTGGAATTTCTAGATGAACTTCAATGATTAATAAAAATGGTAAATGTGACTGGGAAGTTAACCTAAAAATATTAAACTTTTTTTTTTACTATTGTACATTAATCTAATTAATGTTAAGCCTTTAAAAATGGTTTTAATTTAATTGACAGCTAACTAAATACACAAAACACCACTATACTATTAAATATGAAGTTTCTAAATTAGCAGTGGCTTATAATACTGGTTCTTATTCGACAGTATGCTATATACACTTAATGGTACGTAAACATGTTGCTGTTAGAAATAGCAAAAGTAGTGCTTATAATACTGGTTCTTATTCGACAGTATGCTATATACACTTAATGGTACGTAAACATGTTGCTGTTAGAAATAGCAAAAGTAGTGCTTATACTCTTCTTGCACATTATTTTGTTGTATTTCTATAACGAGATGGCTAAAGAGTCACGTAAAGGAACATGCCAATGTATACAAATCTCTTTTCACGGTTAGTAGCAGATAAAAAACAAACTTATACTGAAGCTTTGTACATCACTGAAATGTGACATTGTTGTTTATTCTAATTTGTTTCAGG